ATCGCCACTGTGGTGGAATTCTAATTTCCTCCCAGGTGTATGAAAAAACCTGACAAAAATCAGAGAAAACACTGAAAACCAATAAAAAATCGAATTTCGCGCGCTTTTAACGGCAGTTGGCCTAGAAAACTCTCACCTGGCTGCTAGGCCACCAGATACAACTTTGACTTTTCGATGCCGTTTTTCTCAAGGAAGGGATTTTTTTTGAACTTTTTCTTTATTTTTATGGGAATCTACATGGATTTCTGCACAAAATGAAGCAATACAATGTTTCACCGCACACCACCTTTAACAATGTCTTAAAATTTCAAAACAATCTTCAAAGCACAAATTCTCCAAGCCAAAAATTACTAACATGGGTCTCATAGTCATAATCCTACGGAATTCAAGAATTGTCGAATTTGAACTTCTCAGAATCTCAATATCTAGAAACTATCAGAGAAAAGATATCTGAATTAAAAACGCCTGGACACAATTTCAGATTCATCGGTCAGTCAGTCAAGGATAAAAACATACAAACGTTCTACTCTTTTGAACAAAATGATTTCATCTAAAACGGAATACGTAGGATTCAAAACATCCGGAGGGGCCTATTGATACCCCCGAAAACATGTTTTTTTTCTCGAGAATCTCTCTATTTTATTTATAAATTGAAATGTGATATTCTTAAAATTTTAATGGAATAGACTACCTTGGGACATCTGACTAACTAGAGCTGAGAGCTCTCTGAAAGGAATTCAGATGAAAAAAAAAACTATGCAAAGAGTTCACAGTTTCTTGTGCTCACATGTCAAATGCAACACAACAGAAACATGCTCTTCTTGTCGGTTTTTTGTTGTGTTGTCCACAGAAAATTGAATCGGAATTCGCTTTTGTTGTTCGGGAAAAGAGTTTCATTCACCGAAGCGTTTTGAATAAAATCAAAAAAGAGCAGCACAAGGTTTTGAAAAGTTTCAGAGCGCGTCATATAATTTTAGCCGGAAATCTGAAGTTCTTATAACTGAAAAAAAACTTTTTTGATTTCAAACTGGACTTTCTAATTAAAGAAAGATCAGAAAAACACAAAATTGGATATAAGAGCCTGAGCGTTAAAAAGAGGGACTAAAAAGATGTCTGGATTGAACTCATGAGTCCAAGGTGTCGACGACAGGAAGAATGTTGTTTGGAGAGCGCTCAGAGATCAATCATTTTGGATTAGGATAACAAATGTCAGGTTTAGAATATACATAGAAATGGAGGTGAATGTTCGAAAGATGATGGGAAAATGGGTTTCAGGAGAGAAGGCATTTTTCTAACAGAAAAGTAATCTACAAAAAGGGAACATGGAAAATTCGGAAAAAGCATATCTGATTAAGGAAAACCATTTTTGCTTTTCAAAAGAAATGATCTAGCACAAATTGAGAGAGTTGAAGGCCAGGGATAATTTCAACGAATTTGGGGTTTTCCGCCCTTTCCCTAGTTCGAAAGGGAATTTCAAAGTTGTAAAAAATGACAAAGTTCCAATAAAGATGGTGAAAAGATTCGTTCGTTTGTGTAACTGTACTTGAAGTTGGAAATTGACTGAAAATTTTGAAAATTTACATATTTTCCACCAATCATTCGCCAATTTTTGTTCGAACCACTAAAATAGGCTCAGTGTGTTGTAGGCTGTTTGGTGGTTTAACGTTTGCTTGATTCGTTTATTTTTCTAGGCCACCATGGTGAATGTCATAGTAATGGCCTGATATGCCTGGTGTGTTGTTTAGGCCCTACCATGCTGCCCTAGAAAACTCAACTCGTGAAAGTTACGCCACGAATAGAACATGTCATGTGCATGGTAGATAATTTCTGGGCCACCAACTACGGTGGCCGAGAAAAATCAATTTAAGGAAGCTAGGTCAGTATATTCCTCATAATATTATGAAACCGGAGTGTGTGATTTTCGACATCGATCGAAAAGAATTTCGAAATTTCGTCTAATTTTCTAAAAAATAATTCGAATAGTCATTCGAACATGACAAAAATCAAATACTGGTTTCCTCCTATTTTATTCTGTATCTAAAAAGTTAGAAACGAAAAAAAGATTCCCTAACCAAAAGTTCAAATGAAAAGGAATGAGCACACTTATTCATCAGCAGGCTCTCTCCGTTTTTCTCACTCGGAGATTCCTTTTGTGCTATTCGAGAAAAGGACCATTCAGGGTGGTGATGCATACGGGAAAATTCAGTTTTTGAGACTTCTTTGAGTTTTTTTTGGGTTACTAAAGAGATTTGGGAAATATATGAAGAAACGGATTTTCGGAATCATTGAACGTTTTTTTTTCTTTTAGGTGTGGAGATTAAGAAGATACGTCGGGAACATTGCAGTTCGGGTACAAAAAAGAAGGAAAAATTCTTCGTGATCTTGTAGACTTAATGTGTTCTTCTTCATTTTGAATACCTTCATAATTCAGCTCTTAAAAAAATGAGTTATGTTTTTTGAAGTTCTCCGTTCTTTTTCATTGGAGCAGAACAGCATATATCATCAAAATTTATGGGTATTCTTTCAGGTGATATCATTCTTGAATAGGTAATTTTTCAGGAACGATTCATTGATCTTTTTTGAAAAAAAAAGTTTAAAGAACATTCGAGAGAACCAATATTTTTTGAAAAGAAAGAAAACACTTATGCTTCTTCCATGAAAAAAAACTATTTATAAGAAGAAATACTTGAAGGAACAAAAATAAAAAATATGCAATATTTCAAAACAGGAAAATCTAGAAGTTCGAAGAAAACATGCAATTTTGGTGGAAGATTTCTTGGAAAAGAAAAAGATACAAAAATATCGAGTGATCCATCATAATCAAGTATAAAAATGGAAAAGCTTAGGGTTTTACCCAAAAAATAGTGACAAAAGAAGAACGAAGATGAATTGGTTGAAAATTTGGCACAAAATTTTTTTCATAGCATTTTTAAATTTTTTGTTACTTATATAGATAAGGCCTTTGTCACATTTTGGTCTCAATCATTCAAAAATTTTAAAAGATTGAAAATTTTTGAATTATTTCCCTTAATTATCTGAAAATCGTAAACCATATACTGGGAAACCATATCTATCATGAAATAATTAGAAACTATGAAATCACAAAATTCTTTCAAAAAAATTTTCTTAGCGAAGTTCAAAGACAGAAATGGTGAAATTTTTCTACCACTCCCTTTTCAGCTAACTTTGAACTCAATTGTCTCGATTTTTGTGACAGATATCAAAAGTTTGTCAACTGATAATTTTTTATCATAATATCTGCAATATTTTATCAGTTACCGTAAAACCTCTAATAGAACGACACCCGGATCGTCCACTTTGAGCCTATATATCTCACTTCTTTTGAAAGATATCAAAAAGTGGTTAACTAGTAAAATGTTTATCAGGATATCAGCAACAATTTACTAGTTAGTCTTTCACAGGAATCGAGATAGTTGAGCTTGAACTTGACAGTTTGATTGAGCCAATTAGAGCGAAGTAAGGTGTTTTCCTCCTGCCCCTTGACAACAGGATATTCTTAATAATTTTTAACATTTTCTCCAGTACATAAAAATGAAGCCATTTTGCTGTAAAATCCACTTTACAGAGCCCTATTTGTTTTTTGAAAACTGAAATTCGATTCGTGTTTTTACACACCCCATATTCTGCAAAGAAATTCTAAACTATCGAATATCAGATTGAAATAATTAGCTGTGGGGACGGACGAATTTAGAGGTCAGGGTCCTAAACATGTTTTTTTGGTCTCGAAAAATAGAACAATAAGAGCTGAGAGCCCTTCTGGTCACTCAACCAAATCAAAGCTCGCGCATTCAAGTTCATTATTTCATTATTTTCTTTCCGTTTTTTTTTGGGATTCATAAAAATATTCTGGAGAATTCACGGAAGACTGACTACAGTAATCTGCGGATTCTATGATCTTTTTTTGTTTTTCATGCATCGATGGTTTTTGAAAAGTCGAAAATTTGGATGCAACGGAATTGTGAATTCTGGGAAATAGCTACAAAAACAGGGATCTTTTAAAGGGGGGGGGGGAAGTCATGAGAAAGCGAACAGGTGAAGTTTTAGATTAGAACTTTTTAATTTCAAAAATCATTAGCAAATCAGAAAAAAAAAACAAATCACATGGAAAAATGACGAGATTTTGCAGCAGTGAAACAGTTGAAAAACAGGATTTTAATCAATTTTTTTTTCAGAAAAATCAGAATAATTAGATTACAAATCACAGAATTAAGAAAATGAAACGCAGGATAGGAACATGTGAAATTTGGCCAACCTTAGAGATCGAATTCGAAATATTCAGGAATAAAGCTAAAAGATCTGACTAGGGGTTTTCAATCCCCTCATCTCGGCTCCTGTAAGAGATATCAAAAAGTGGTCAACTGATTGAAAGTTTTGATATTATGATAAAGACTTCATCAGTTGACAAATTCTTGATATCTTTTATAGGAGCTGAGATAATTGAGCTCAAGTTTAAGGTGGGTGTTTTTTAAAGTTAATCTGTTATTTCTAAAAATACAGTTTTCGAAACAACTTTTTTGAAGATAATTAAAACAAAAACATCACTGATATCATGATAAAAGTTTTATCAGTTGACCATTTTTTGATAACTGTTACAGAAAATGAAATATATGAGCTCAAAGTTGACGGTTTTGGGTGGGACTCTATCAGATTTTATGGTAATTTTCAGATTCCAGAATCTTATTACTACCGAAACCCACGGAGTCTGAACACAAGATTCACTAAACAAAAATCAAAAAGTGAAGAGCAGAAACAGGTGAGAAAAGAAGAACATATAATGTGAATAGTGGAGCAAAAATCCCCCGTAGATCTCTTTTCTTTTCATCCTGTGACAGTTGAAAACTTTTTATTGGCTTTCACACCCCAATATATTTTTATTGGGTTCTTCTTCTCGAATTCAGAATAATGGAGATTTGAAAAAGTGATAAGGAATAATGATCACTTAAAATGATTGGGATATGATGAGTAAGATTTTCGGTCGGGGAGAGATGAGTAGATTTAGAAACAAAAAGAAAAGAGAAAGTAGAAAAAAAATGTTTTGCAGCAAATAAAAGAGACAATGTTTGACATGATACTTGTGGGAGACACTTCACTCATGCTCTTTTCTCTTTTTTCTGCGCTGAACTTTAATCTTTTTACAAGATTTTGATGAAATCTGGGTGGCCATCTGATGAGCACTTCTAGGCCAGAGGCGACTTCAGCGCTCAAAAATGTTTTAGAAATAGTCCAATTTTTGATAAATTGACTTAAATTTTCTATAAGTTCAGCTTTGAATTTGCTGAAAATATTCACTAACTTGTGATACTTTATTTTTCAAAAAATAGTCGTTTTATTAAACAAAGTAATTGAAAATTGCAATAATGAGGAAGATGAGAGCAACCTGAAATCGAATTTGGTTAAAAAGAGCATTGTGAGCCTTTGAAAAAAAAATCTGTGGTGGGGCTTGCTTAAATTTCAATTTCTATAATAGTTTGATATTAGTGCGAACTGAGAATTTTTCTTATTCTAAAAAGACACTTCAAAATCTATACCGGAAAAAAAAACTATATATAAACTTCTGAAGGTGTCTTCAATAAACTTTTTTTTAAAAATTCCTCCCACTGCTCAATAACCCAATTTTCCAACAGGTTGCTAGAGAAAATTACAGAAAGGAAACAGATAGATATCAATTATCATACACGTGTCTTGAGTATCTGTTCGTCTTCGATGCATCTACCTTTTCTACAGTAGCCCTGCTACAAGGAACGACTTCGGCGATAACGTTGGCGTATTGTTGATAGGTGTCCTGGTCGTAAATGCACATTGTGCCACCACCACGGTGAAGTTGATGCGTCTGAAAATAAAACTAAATGTGGGGGACATCAAAAAGTAATTGTCTCGAAATTCGGTTCATATACACCTCTCGAAGAGTTTAACTTGTGGACAGAACTCTAGAGGTGGTGCCGTGCCGCTACCAGCTGAGCTACAGGGACGTAAGCTGAAGCAGCACGATAGCAACGCCCTGTGTGAACACTAAACACTGTACACCGTCACGTCAGAATGCATGCCGTAACCCAGAAAAACCGAAACATCTCCTGTCTTCCCTCCTTTAATAAAAACTTTAATTTCCTGACCAACCTGTCTATTAATATCTCCGATACAAACGTATGGGAACGATGGCTTTGATGGGTTCTCACTGTACGCAACCACAAATTTCGAATGATCCTCATAACTTGTGTAATTGACTCCAAACGGCAAACGAATGTACTTTGCACTCATTGTCTGGAATCAAACATTGAGAATATGAATCTTGAAATTTCTAGAAACTAACCGATTGCTGATGATTTGGATCGCACATGGATGGAAGGTTGACTTCGTCTCCACTTTGATGATTCCATGTTTCAACTTTGATAGAAGATTTAAGTTCAGGTCCAACGAGATCGTTGTAGAGATCTAAATTGAAAATTTTAGAGCAATTTCTAAAAATCAGTTGCTACCTTTTCCCCATTCTCCAGTCTTGGCAAAGTGCTTGAAGTTTTGACCACCGAGTGATTTGATAACACGAATCGAGGTGAGTGGAGGATTCTGAAATTGGAGTTCTTGTATGAAATGTATGTCTTTGCGTCCGGATCGTACCTTATTATAAAGTCCATTTTGCAATTGACTCAAAACTGGAAAATCGGCGGCAAAAGTTTGTGGCAAGTTGAATACATAGGTGAATGTGTTGTAGTAGAACAATTGATTGGCTGGAAATTCAGAAGATGTTAGAATTCATTCAAAATTTGGACATCACTCACCAACGTCAGACAACGACGCATAATTCAAAGATACACAAATTCCCATTTGTCCATACCAATGAGCATTTGATGGGAAATTGAACTGATTGATGCTTGGAAACTTTGGAATACTATGAAGCATCCAGAATCCAGTGTACTGATCGAATACAGTAACACCTTTGGCGTGTCCAGAACTATTACTCCAGGTGGTACTATCTGGCCATTCGTCATTGTATAAATACTGGAAAGTTTTTGTTTTATTCGATGTGTAATACTGTTGAAGAGTGTAGTATATCGCGTTGTTCTGCACGTCCATTCCTTGAGGCATCAACTTCTGAAAATCGAGAAATTCCAAAATTTTTCTCATTGGAAAAAACTGACCCAGTTCTTGTTGTTCACATCAAAATACATGAATCCGGTTCCATTGGAAATCGGGAAGTTGGTTGGGTGATCCCAAAGATGTGGGAGTTTGTAGAAAACAAACCTTAAAAAGTAAGTTGAAACAATTTATTTTTTGGAATTTCAAAGTATCTTATTGCAGATTAATAGAAAGCTTTCACAATTTTAAGTACTCCCAGTTGAGCAAACAAAGTTAAAACTACAAATTTTTAATGATTTTGAGTATTAAAAAGTGAAAGTGTGAAATGTGTCAGCGACTTGAAATGGGCAAAAAAATGCGGTAAAATTTTTGAAAAAGTTGGGAAATTGTGAGACATTAACCTCGTAATTATTGATTAAAAATCCTTACAAGCTTAGCACACTTTTCCATTGAAAATTTAATCTCGTTCCGTCAAATAATGACTCCAAATTTTTTATCTATAGGTTTTGGACGAATATTACCTATCGCATTTGTTCAAATAGAAGCCCCTATAAGTTTCCTTTCAGCTCTTTTATCTCGATTCCTGTGAAAGATATCAAAAACTTGTCAATGAACCAACTATTTACCAAAATATCAGTAATATTTTATCAGTTAACAAATGTTTAATATCTCTCATAGGAACCGAGATAATTAGGCTCAAAACAAGTGTAGTGTAGAATTCTATTAGAGCAGATACCTGTTGCTAATGTTTTTTTGGTTTATTTAAAGTCTCAAGTACTGCTTTTCAATTCATATCATATTTTTTGGACAGTCTCAATACCAAAATCATATTCAGATGACATTTCAGAAGAAATAAAGAAAAAAACTTCCAAAACTCACCAATCCACATTATTCCCGTTGTTATCCTTACATTGAATCGCCGCGTTCGTTACTCCAAGTAAAAGAGAAGTTAGTAGGATAAGTGGTCGAATCATCTGCAAAAAAGGTTACAAAACTCAAAAAAGGCGACAAAAGACGACGATTTGAAGAACGCGAAAGAAGTATTAATAGAGAAACGAGAAGGTGTGAATGAGAACTGATTTAAGACGATTATTCTAGAGTTTAGAGTGTGACACAGAGCATTTATGTCGAGAAGATAGTTGAGCAGTTTGATCTTCTTTTGGAGAATGAAATGTAACCGCTGTTTGGTTGATCTTATCTTCGTGTATCATTGCAATAACACCCCTATCGTTTATGTTGTCTTATCAATTTTCTTGGACAATGTGACTGGTGTCGTCATCAAAAAAATGCTCCAGCAACGATCAAACAAGACAATGATGTTTGTTGCAGAAGGGAGGGGTGAGACAGAAAAGACGCGGAAAGGATGACCTGCAGAAAAAATACAGAATACTTGATGATTTGCATACACCTGAAAAAATGGAAAAGAAACTTTAATTATGTAGTACGGTTAATGAAAAACTCTCAAAAGAACTAGTGGAAATACCATTTTCAATAGTCTGGAACTCGGTTGTCAAGCTTTCGATCACTTTAGGAATTTCGGAGTGTGTAAAACGCACCTAGCTTTAAAACGTTGCATTTGCAGAATATTTTTTTAAGCGTAGTTTTCCAGCTATTTGCCGATTTCTGAGAGACACCTCCTTCCGGCCCTTTTTTGTACTAAAAATGTGAAAAACAGGTGTCCTTCAAAAATCGGCAAATTCCTAAAAAATAGGAATCTTCAAAAAATGCTTTGAATGCGAAGTTTTTCATCTAGGTCTGTTTCACACCATCTAAAATTTTCAAAGTGATCAGAAGCTTAACAGCCGAGCTTCAGACTCCTGAAAACGGTCAAAACCTACTGAAAAATACGTTATTGTTATCGGTTGGCACATTTTTGGTATCTTTCATAGGAGCACAGAAAAATTGCTCAAACTTGACTGGTCTCTGTTTCAGCTCCCTAGATTTAATTAGCAGAAAAATGTACACAAAAAAAAACAACTCTGCATTTATTGCTCACTTCTGAATAAAGTTTGAAAAAAAAGAAATAACAAGTATTAAACACCACTGGAAGCAGATCCAGAAGTCTCCTTGGTAGTCTTCTTCTTCGTCTTCTTTTTGTTTTTCTTTGTCAACTGTTCCATCCTTCATAATTACCCCATTCGTTGTGTGTGCAATATTCACTACTGTATCGCAAGCGGCATGCAGTACCAGACATGATTGGCAGCTCCTGATTTAGTCAACAAAGTCATTGGCATACTTGAGACTTGGGGAGCTGGTGGACACAGGATTAGCAGGTCCAAGTCATTCGAAAGAAGTGGTCGGGACTTGGTGAGGACGATCACATTTGACGCATCTGAACGAGGACAAGAAAGCTATAAGACAGCGCTCGTAGCACATCAGATATCAGTTGCACCCGAGCTTGCAGCTTACCTCCGAACAATATGGATTGTTCAAACCGTAAGTCTTATTTTTATGATAAGCAACAACGAAGAAGAACTTAACTTCTTGCTCCAATCAAAAGTGGACCGACGAGGACGCTTTTCCCGCCCGGAGACTCTCTCCAACGAGAGATTTTGATCTTTCATGCTAGACCACCGAGGTGTTAGATCACAAAGACGCGACGTTAACGACATTACGAGACGTATGCAGTAGAATCATGTCACACCTTCGAACGCTCGCCAAGACGATACGAGAAAAGACACTAACGACGTGACGCAGAACAGTACTACAAGAGGCGAGTGGACGCCGAAGACGTAGTCACTCAAGTTCTACAGTGTCAATTGGACCAATGGACAACTAATTTTAAATTTCGTTGTGTCTTTTTTTTCTCTAAAGCCGGGAGTGTGCTAAATCGCACTCTTCTGATGGTGATTCACGGGGGAATGTGCATTGCATCCCCCGCAATCACTTTCTTTTATTAAATTCTTTATCATGTAACCAGTATAAAAGCCCCTCTATTGTATCATTCTAGATCGTTCAATAAACCAATATAGCTTCTAAAACACATTCAAAAGTGGACCGACGAGGACGCTTTTCTCGCCCGGAGCCTCTCTCCAACGAGAGATTTTGATCTTTCATGCTAGACCACCGAGGTGTTAGATCACAAAGACGAGACGTTAACGACATTACGAGACGTATGCAGTAGAATCATGGACCCCGTAGATGTCACACCTTCGAACGCTCGCCAAGACGATACGAGAAAAGACACTAACGACGTGACGCAGAACAGTACTACAAGAGGCGGTGGACGCCGAAGACGTAGTCACTCAAGTTCTACAGTGTCAATTGGACCAATGGACAACTAATTTTAAATTTCGTTGTGTCTTTTTTTTCTCTAAAGCCGGGAGTGTGCTAAATCGCACTCTTCTGATGGTGATTCACCGGGGAATGTGCATTGCATCCCCCGCAATCACTTTCTTTTATTAAATTCTTTATCATGTAACCAGTATAAAAGCCCCTCTATTGTATCATTCTAGATCGTTCAATAAACCAATATAGCTTCTAAAACATGGTGCATCATGGGTTGAAAATCCCGGTCGCTCAAAGTCCCGCGTGGCATTCTACATTGGTACCTCTATACTCCTATTACTCGCTGTTGCAA